TGGGCTAATTTTCATTTTTGGGTGAACTAACCCTTTAACTGAGCTAAATGATGACACTACTGTCGTCTGAAGAGCTGCTTTCCAGCTGTAATTAAATTAAATGCATAACTGATGAATTTCACACTGTTATTTTCATGTTTATTAAATGTGAAGCTGCTTTGAAGCAATCTTTACACTCTTTAAAATAAAGATTCCAAAGAGGGATGCCATAGAAGAATCATTTTTGGTTCCCCAAAGAACCATTCAGTGAACAGTTCTTAACCATTTTTTTCTTAGTATGAAGAATATTTTAATAATCTTAAAAACCTTTTGAGCAATGAAAAGGTTCTAAACTCCTAAAAAAAAGGTTATTTTCTGGCATCCATGGCTCCATGAAGAACCTCCATGGAACCTTTCTATTCCACAAAAGGTTTAACATTTTAAAATGTTCTTCACACTTTGAAAAAATGGTTCTTTCACTGAAAGGTTCTTTGAGGAACCCAAAATTCTTCTTCTTTAGCAACGCTGTGAAAACCCTCATTTGAAACCTTTCTTTTTTTTTTTTAAGATTGTAAGGATGTTAAAATCTCCTTATGGAACCATTAATTCCAACAAAACACCTTTATTTTTAGGAGTGTATTGCTAAATTGCTATATAAATGTGACTTGACCTCTACAGAAAGATATGTAGAATTTGAATCCCCATCATTCATGGTTTTACACATCCCCTGCCCTTCACAGGTTCATTAATGAACTATTTAGCTAACTGTTGTTCTACCTTAGTGAGCAGGACCGTCAGGTGTGGATCTGGTGTGAACTCCAGACTGAAGCAGTGTGGAGAATTGTGCTTGTATGTTTCTACAGCAACAGCTCTGACAGGTGCGGCGCTCTTGTCTTCGTTCTCTGCGACTGGGCATTCTGGAGGTGACCTGAAATATCAGTGGATCAGCTTGCAGGGTGTTCATTTCACTCAAAAATGGGTTATGTATGTATAAGCTTCTCACGGCGTTTGGGGGAGAACATGGGTCAGGGCAGTGAAATGAAGACAGGTCAGGGGTCGACTGGTCTGCGTCCCAGCAGGAGTTTGATCGTTGGAAATGTCAGTGTGCAGGAGCAGAGATATATTGACGGATGCTTTCGCTGCAGCCCCTGTGACCGGTTATGTTGGCATTAGTAGAAAGCAGTATCAGGACACCAGCCAAAAGTACTTCATTCCTGTTGTTCAATGCATTTTCATTCCCCTCTTGAAATTGAGAGCTTGACCAGAACATATTTCTGAAAGTCTGATATATATTTTATTAAAATACTTTTTAAAATTACAACATATATATATACTTTTAAAAACATTTTTGCCAAAATAAAGCTGAAATAAAATAAATAAAAAGATTAAATAAAAAAAAACTTGCCTTAGCAACTAACTGAAATAAGTTTACGTTGAAGCACTAAAATCATTTAGTACTTAGAAATAAAATAAAATAGAAATATTAGATGAAAAACGTAAACTAAATTAGAAATGCTGTCTTTTCAATTAACTTCAAGCACTAAAATAAATTAAACCTAAATAGTAATATTATAAAAAATATGAGAAAAAAAAACTGAAAATATAAAAACCAAGGCTAATTCAAAATATTAATAAAAACCATAATAATAAATAAGTCTCGTACACACAAACCTTTCATGCCCAGCTGGCTGCCCAACATTGTGGCACTAATGGCAGTATTATCTGGGACGTCCCCTATAAATGCCAAAGGCACCAGTAAGGAAACATGAGCACTCCTCCTGGAAATATTTGTCCTTTCTGAATGCTTCACCATTCGGGGAGAGTCTTCCTCCAGCGGTGCATCTGTGTCATTCAGATGTGTGCAGAACTTAAAACCAGCGACAGACCCCAGAACCCGGTTCCAGTCCTAGAAAACAAGCATATATGAGTGAGTCTATAAATAAATGCAAAATCCAATTATAGCAGTGATCATCATACTCACTACACTTATGTCAGGGTTCCTGATGTCGTGATCCTGAGAGTAAAGTCCAATGCAGACGAAAGTTATGGAGATGATTAGTAGACTGAGGAAGAACACAACTACAGGAGGGTGTCGAGATACCTGAACTCTCAGGTTAGACACAGGCCTCCACTGACCCATAATGCACCAGCAGTGAAGACACCACCTGTGAGGTTTAAACCACGCCAAATATGTAATGCCTATATTCAGAATGGGATACTAGCTAACTACTTAAAAGAATAGCTCATCCAAAAATGGAAATGTTCAGCTAATTTTATAAAATAAAATAAAAAAGTGAAACAATAGGTAGAATTCCATCTTATAGTGCCGAGGGTTTTAAAAAAGCAGTATAAGCTACATTATATTATATGACGTAATATGTTTAGTTAATATCTTGGTGATAATTGTTTTTTTTTCTCCCCCACATTTTTAATATTGTGTAAAAATGGCTTAACTTTTAGCTGTTTGACCAAGCATTAATTCGAAATTATTCATTGTAATTAC